GAGCTATATATAAATATTAATTTTTATATTTTATTGTTACATTTATATTTATATATTTATTATAAATTATGTATAATTCTAATTATATTAATAAATCAAATATATTAATAAATACATTATATTTTAAATATTAATATATTAATATAATGGACATATTTCCTATTCTAACAAGAAAAACATAAAATGGCAAGGAAAATAAGACTGACCAAATTTTTTTTTTTAAACAAACAAACTGTTTTAATGTACAGAAAGAGTGTACTTAAAGTTTTCAATAGTTCAGATTTTTTTATTTACATTTGCTTAATTTATGTAAATGATTTCTATACATTTTATATAAATATTATTCATCTACATTTGATTTGATTTGATTTGATTTATTATTTACTATAGTGAATTAGAAAGCCTCACGATCTGAAACGGTAGCATTTAAAAACGTGCTAGGATTAAGTTGATGGTGTTGTTGACAGGCAAATCAGATGGGGCCTCCTTCAGGACACAGTGGTGTGTCGGTTGCAAGCGGCGTTATTTAAAGAACAGTGATTAATGTGTGGAGAAGCAGCGCGCGCGCACACGCACACACACACACACACACACACACACACCTGAGAGGCACTCGAGGCATGTGAGAGCGCATTACACAGCGCTAGCAAGTGCTCCAACAATTTGAAGGCGAAAAAAGCCAGTGGCAGGACAGAGGCTGTTAATCATCCTTTCACAGTGAGGGAGGAGAAAACAAGATGAAGAAGGCATCATAGCTGTCTCTCACCTCTTTATCTTTATTTGTGCCTCTGTCACTCCTAGACATTTCAAGAGGTCACTTTATTCTCTTATCAATACTGTCAAAATATAATATGGCTATATTAGCTTATTTCTACGCATTATTACCTTGATAAAAAAGTATTTGGGCCATTTCATGGTACAGTGACGGTAATACCATGGTACTTTGATATATATAGTGGCTATTTTAGTGGGTTTTCAACCTGGAAATAAACCAAAAGGTTTAGTTTTTTGATTATTTTGAAACAAAGAAATGCTATAGAGATTCTGGACTATCATTTCCCACAAAAAATATACAAACAAATAATAAATAATAATAAACACTAATACAATTATATTTGTATAGACGGATGTTATATATTTGTATAGACAGATAGAATGTTAATAATTTTTAGTTTAGTTTTATTATTATTTTTACCAAAATATTACTTTTAATTTGTAATATTTTTTAACTGTCTAATATTTTAACATTTGTAAATTACTATTATTATTTATATATTAATATAAATATTAATATGTATAGAGAGATAAAATGTTAATAATTTTTAGTTTACTTTTTTACTTAAGAATGAACTTTTAAACAGTCTAATATTTTAACATTAATAATAATAATAATTGTTATTATTATTATTGTTAATACTACATTTAATTCATATATTTATATAATTATATTTAAATGTAATTTTGGATGGATGGATAGATAGATACTGTAGAACAATAGTTAAAATTTTAAATATTTTTTATGTTTACTATTTTTGTAACTTCAGTGTTACGTTCTTAAACAGTCTAATATTTTAACATTTAATTTAAAATGTATAGATTTAAAATTGTTTAAAATAAAAATGTAAATGTTACATTTATTTTTACATTTATTACTCTTTTTTTTGACTTTTTTTGACTTGACTGTAAAGTTGATTGTATTCCTTCATCATGGTCAAATTTGTTTTATTGTTGTTTATTTAAAGCTGCAGTCTGTACGTTTTGCCTCTTTGTCTCCATCTCTGTTTGAAAACCTGGAATTGCAGCTTTGTGCGGAATTATCTAGTTTGCGTG